CTTGTCTTTTTCCTCCCTTCACGGAGCCTGCTCCTCTCTGTGACCCGCTCCAAGTTCCCGCCGCAGCAGGTAACACCGCACCTCGGGCGTCTCACGAAGTCCCGGGAGACTCAGTGCGGGACGAGCCCACGCGGGGCCTGGAGCGGACAGCTGAACAGGCCAATCAGCCAGCGGGACATCTCCTCCCCTCCCCTGCCCGCTTCAGCCGAGCCCTGTCTAGACTCGCTCACCCTCAGCTCAGGAATGCGTTTTCTCTGTACTCTCCGTGGGACAGACGACGCTGAGGACGCATGCCCTAAACCTCACAGGCACGACACGGGCGGGGAAGCTATCCAGAGTCACTGGAAGTACACTGATCCAAGTGTTCCGTCACACCTGCAACTCACTCGAGCAAACATACCAGACATAAAAATTGTGCAAGATCAAGCATCAGCTTCCTACTTTAAAAGCCTTAATTAAAAAAAAAAAAAAAGAGAGGCTCACTGCAGTGTCTGTGAAGGGGATTCGGGCTCCAGTACTCCCTTCACACGCGACTCGGGGTTGAGGACACGGTGGGCACCTGCCGCCGGATGACCCCGGACGGCGCTTGCCCCGGTGCCAGCGGGGAAGAGCCCGACACCGGAAGCAGCAGCGTGTGGCGACGTGGCAGGGCCGGGACGGGCACCCCCCGCTTCGTGAGCGCACGGACACCTGCCGTCTGTCCCACACTGGGGAGCAGTGCCGCCGACCTGAGCGGCTGCCGCGCGTCCGCGGGATGAAGTAACTGTACAAGGTCGTCCGTGTAGAGCAGCGTCCCTGGGAAGTGGCGGGGCAGGACGCCGGAGCTGGCTCAGAGCAGGGTCTGGTACAGGTAGCCCCGCCTGTAGGCGCTCAGCGGGTAGAAGGTGGCCACCACGAACTTCCCGTCGAACAGCCGGCCCGTCAGCAGCCTCTGTGCAGCTTTGGAGTCGCCGGCATTTGCGTACTCCACGAAGACCTGTGCGGGGACAGAGAGAGTGAGGTGGCTTCGTGGCCACGCAGGCCATTCCAGAGCAGCCCTGTCCCCTGCCAGCTAGACTGACGCTGCCCCGGCAGGGCGAGGCGCGGCCTGGGTCTTGGGTCATCCGTGCCACTGGCCGGGATGGCAATTTGGGGCAGCAGGATGCAGAACACGTCTGTGGAGCTCAGTCAGTTCCGGAAACCCAGCAAGAGCACGCTGAGTGACAGCACCCGGCTCCCCCGAGACCACCCAGGGGTGTTGAGCAGAGCCCTAGGCCACCGAGGGCAGGTCAGAAACAGGACAGGGACACTGTTGGTGCGGCTCCCTGAGCAGGGATGTAGACTTCAGTGACCGGGAGCCCCGAGCCGCTGGGCGAGGCCTAGGTGGCCGGGCAGTGACCGTCAGGGGCGAGTGAGGCGGCCTAAGGCGCAGCAGGATCAGAAGGCAAGCGGGCAGTTCAGGGCTGTGTGGGCTCGTGGAGCGGGGGGGCACTGTGACCTGTAGGGCAGGCTGAGGACGTGGCTCCTGACGGATCTCTTGTGGCCCTACTGACCGTCGGCACAGAGGGCCCTCCCGGGCACTGACTTGGCGGGGACATAAAGCTTGTGTGTTTTGTACCAAACAGCCTGAAATGCTTCTCAAGCGTAGGGACAGGCCGGCCCCACGTGGCCGCGGCACCTGAGGCCCGTCGGTCACTCCTGTGGACGTGTGTTCTGGTTCAGGACGTCAGGCGCACCACAGGGAGTTCAGGGCAGTGCGCCCTGCGGACCATCAGGCTAGCCTGGGAGACTGCCATATCCCAGTGTGCAGCGCTGGGGGACAGGTGGGTGGCTGACCGACTGGCATGTCACCTGTGCCCTCGGAACTGAGATGCTGTGAATGGGAGGGGCCTACGGTCCGTCCACAGATACTGCTCCCGTCAGAAGAAAGCCCTCCCGACCGCAGGACACTCAGCTCCGTGACAGTCTCGCAGGACCACGTCAGAGGCACTGTGGACCAAGGCGTTGTCGGGCAGTGCGCCTGTGAAGGACTTTTAAAACGGGGTCTCCCTTCCTCAGCCACAGAGCGCCGTGCCCGCTGGTGACTGCTCACCATGCACGCGAACGCTGGGTCAAGGCCAGCGTAGGACGCCAGGCCCAGGGCGCGTGGCCTGTGTGGGTGAGTGATTCGCGTGGGCTGCGACACGGGGCAATGAGGGTCTCGCCTCTGCCACTCATGACGACTTATAGCCACATGCTACACCTGAGGACAAGCAGACGGCACCGAGGGCTAGAAACGACCTTTTTACACCTGCGTCAAGGGCAGTGGTGCTCTCAGCCACTCCACCCACCCCAGCTGAGATGGGGGCCTCCCGAGCGGCCGGAGCAGCACCGCCCGTCAGGCCGCGATTCCAAGCCCGCCGCTGACGTCTGCGTGATGTCAGTCCGTGCGCTTCGCCTACGCTGGTGAAGACCCGCACTGCCCAACTACCCCGCCCAACGCAGTCCAGCCGGCGTGAGCTCGCCCTCCTCAGCCAGCGAGTACGTAGCTCACGTCTCCTCTTGCACAAAGCAAAGAACAACACGCGAAGCGCGGGGCCCGCTCGTCTCCAGCCGCAGCTTTCTCGCTGAACGCGAAAGGAAAATTAGAAGCCGCCGCCGGGAGCACAGTGAAGCTGCCTCCGGCTTTTTCGCCGATTCTTAATCCCTGCCAAACCCAGCCCCGCCGGCCACCGCACGAGCCAGTGTGCTCCCTCTCGCTGCACGTGTCACAGGGAACTACCGCCTTGCACACCCGGCCGTCACTAACCAACGGAAGAGCAGCTATCCTTACGGCCCTCTGAGGTCAAACTGACATCAGGGCCACAGCACACACCTCTAGCGTGGTCTGTGAGACGCACCCGTCATCTGGGTGCACCCCAGGGGTCTTGGCCGCACGCCGCGCGCCCCGACCACGGGGCTTGGGTGGAATATGCAAGTGGAGATCGGCTTTGGCCGCCGAGCCGCCTTCGCCCGTTCACACACAGATGCATGCAGACGCTTCTGGGCTCGGCACAGCAGCGCTGGGCCACCCCCTCCCCCGCAGCATTCCCCGGGCCTCCCTCCGGCCCCGCTCCCGTCGCACTTGACCCCGAGGGCAACATCCAGTTGGACCTGCCTCGTCTCAAAGGCCCGGCCACCCCTCACCTCTGGGACCCCCCTTTCTGCTCCCCCAGTCACACCTGCCGCTCCCCACTCCTTGGGATGGAACCCCGGTCTACCCCGCCCCCAGCACTCAGCACTCCACACCATCTGTCTGGGACAAGCGCGACGAACACTGGGGTAAACGCGGAGCGAGGACCCAGCCCGTTCCCGACGCTGAGGGAGGGGAGACGCTACTGCTGCTGGATCACCGAGGGACTGACGTTTCTTTCATTCTTTTTCAGTTGCCAAAATCTTTTATAACATTGAACCATAAAATAAAATAATAATCCATAACCAGAGGCGATTTTGGCCGACAGGGAACACCTGGCAGTGTCTAGAGACATCTCGGTTGCCACACCGAGGGGGGCCTCTAGTTGGGGGAGGCCAGAAAGGCACTGAGCCCCCCGCCTGTGCACAACAGCCCCAGAAGGGGCCACATCAGCAGTGCGAGGCTGGACCCCCGAGACAGAGAAAAACGATACCGTTTCCCACTAGACAAACGGAACGTTTAAGATTTATCTTCTTTGCCTCATGATTTAATTTAAAATCGGAAAATTTCTACAGAAAACCCTGTGACCCCAGTTTTAGCCCATACATTTTACAGGTGAAAAAACTAAGATAAAGGTCACAAAGCTGCCCACGCTGGCACTGCGCTCAGACTGCAGGGCCAACGCAGCGCGATTCCCTCCTCCGAATCCATCAGAATCGGAACATAACCCAAACGGTTTCCCAGCTCCACTTAACTAGAAGAAACTGGGCCAAAATATTTCTGTAGCCGAACCTGACCTAAATCAGGATATGATTCAGCGGGTGTCACTATTCACAAAGGCTCAAAAGCAGAACAATACTTCTTAAAACATAAATGCTAAACGACAAAGAAAAATGCACGCGTGTCACAGAACTCTCGGGAGAAACTGAAAAGAAAAACACCCACACCGAAAACTCCATCACCAGCAGCGCCGTTTCTGGCCCCCCACCCCCAGCCTCAGAACGCCCGTGGACCTGGAAAGAGCCCTGGGTGGTTCTGGAACCGGAGTGCGCCTACCTGCCCTCTGCCGGGGTTCTCCTTCGGCACGAGCAGCGACACCACGGGCCCGTACTTCTGACACTCCTCCTTCACGTCCTCGACGACATCTGCTTGTCAGAACACAGACAGTAACCACCCGGACGCAATGAGCGAGCCTTCGTTATCCGAAATATTTAACCGTCGAAGAATTCGGAAATCCCTACCTAAGTAACGGGATCGTTTTCTACACCTTCTGAAATTAAGCTTAATATAAATTCAGCATTTAATATCTTTTTATATTTTAAATTCAACATTTTGAGTAGCTAATATGTCCAAATGAGTTAAAATTCAAAATCCAAAGAAAAAATAATAATAATAAAATAAAAAAAGAGCCCTGCTCCCATTCCCAGGGTCCACCCCATCCCTCTGAAGGCAGCGGTCATTACCAGCTTCTCCGGGGCCCTTCCGTAACGTCATAAGCTTCCACACGCCGGCGTGGGCACGTACACTTTCGTGAAACGTCCCAGCCTTGCTTTTTGTTAACACTATCGTTAAGACTTTTCAAGACTGCCATACGATTCTTCCACTTGCTTCTACAGCTGTGCAGTAGTTCGCTCTATGAATGGTCAATTTTCTCACACGACCCCTTCTGCTAGTGATTAAACTATTTCCAAACTCTGCCACAATAAACACTGTACTAGAAGTGTAACCGTGTCCTATTTCACGTGCGTACTCTTTCAAATAAGCGGCGTCCTGGAATAAGAGACTGAAGACACAACTGTCACGGACCCAAAGAAATAACGTCTGTTTCATCTGTCAAATAGTCACACAAAGCCCAGGGGCCTAAGACGACTCACACGTACAAGGAGCTGCGGTGAAGGCAGCCTTGTCGGTAACGGTGCGACTGTCCACAGGGAAAACGTCAGTATCCGGCAAGCGTTTCTAAGGCTGGTCCCAGTCAGACCACGCACCGCTCCGCCTCCGGAGGCCCTTACTGAACCACAAGCCTGAGTACGACACCCCCTTCAGAGCTGGACCGGCTCCCACAGCGTGCAGCAGAGCAGGGACCCAACTGCCGGCCGCCAACCTCTCCCGCACGGCCTCCACCGCTGCTAGCCCCGGGTCCGCTCCGAACGCGTTCAGCCACCTGGTCCCAGGGCTCTGCGCTCCGGTTGCCTCACCAGCTCTCACTGACTGCCCCCAGGGAACACCCTGAGACGAGCAAGCCACATGCTGCCCCCTCCCACCGCTCTGCGCTGTCCCTCAGCAGAGACGCCACGCGGGTCCTCAGACTGGCAAAGCGATCCTCGTCAACCCCCTCCGGTCATCAAACTGTAGCTGTCCACATAACAGTCCCCGCCGCGCCGAAGACGAGGACCGATCACACAGGGGCCAGTACACAGCTAGGATTCGGTGAGCAGGTCTTGAATGCATAAGAGCAAAAAGGAGAAATAAAGGCTAGGGCAGGACCAGGACGGACAGAAAGAAGCTGCTAGGAAATGAATCTTTGTTCATTTGGGAGAGTTCACAGCCGGGGGAGCCGAGGGGCCCTTGGCCGGCTCGGCCTGCTTTAACGGAACGCAGACTGAGGGGCTTAAAGGGCAGCCATGCAGTTTTCAAGAGCTGAGGCTGAAGCCCAAGATCAAGGTGCCAGCAGACTCAGTGTCTGGTGTGGCCGGCCACCTCCCGGCCAGGGGCTCAGGCGGCAGATAGCTCCGCCTCCTCGCCTCCCATAAGCACCCTCACCCCGCCGTGGGGCCTGGGCCTCGCGACCCCACCCAACCCATGGCCTCCCGAAGCTCCAGGTCCAGCCACTCTCGACTCGGGAACAGGGCTTTGCTGCAGGAATGTGTGGGG